TATAGTTCTAATAAATAAATGACACTACATTTTTTGGTAGATTCTGTTCTTTCTTCTGTCACTTGATGTTCTTCTTTTCCTGTTATTTGTGCTCTTTTCTTTGACATGATCAATGTGGAGTTATGACTACTTAGCATTTGAAATCACAGTTCTCAATGTGCATTTTTTTAAGAAAATAGTGTTAGTAGTTTTTTGAATTAGGGTGTGTTTGATTACATTTATTTTCCATGGAAAATATCAGTTTTCCACCCAAATTCCTACTTGGATTGTTTGATTGCTATTTTTTTCCATGGAAAATATTTTACAACTTTTGAAAATATGCTTAATTTTCCTTGTTTTTAAGGAAAACATTTTCCTTGGGTAGAGGTGGTTTTTATTTTCCACAAAAGATGGAAAATATTTTCTTTTCTAGGTGATATTTTCCATGTCAATCAAACACACTCTTATTGTATTGATATCAGCTTTTAATTTATGTTGTTCAGGGGATTTCTGCACTTCTTCAAGGCATTCCACTTTGTGGTGGTTCTATTGTGTTCTCTTTTCACCCTCATAACATATGAGGTATCTCTTAGTAATGGAGCACGGAATCAGATGGAATTTGAAGCATGCCGGTCCTACAAAGGCAATTCTGATGAAAATTTTCCAGATTTATTTGATGATCATAGTAAGTCAATTGAATCAAAACAATTGGGACAGCAACATGGTATGGACAATGTATGTCCTCATTCGAATTCATTCTGTTTCCCATCAACATTGGCTGGGTTTTTATGTGAAAAAAATGATGCAGAATTTGAAGTATTAGATGCTTCTAGGGTTTACACCGATGTTAGATTATCTGCTGGACTGAACCAAGTGAAAAATATCCTCAGTCAGTCATCAGACAGTGGCACATTCAGGTTATTGGGTGGAAGGACTGTTTCGTGTTCTTTGTACCACCAAGAGAGTTATAATGAATTGCCATGTCTTAACTCTTGGAATGATCAAGAAAATGATGTCACTTCTCGTATAAACCAATTACTTGCCCACGAAACCCGAAATTTGAAATTGACTGGGAATATTGAAACAGTCAAATCTGGCTTTTTGGACAGCTTTTCAACACCACATGTGGAAATTAAACCTTCTCTGCTGGACTGGGGACAGAAGTACTTGTATTTTCCTTCCTTAGCTTTTTTAACAGTGAAGAACATTGGCAGAGACAACATTTTGAATGTCTACGAGCCTTATAGTAGCAACTCACAGTTTTATTCGTGCAATGTTAGTGAAATTTTGCTGTCTCCTGGGGAAGTTGCATCAGTGTGTTTCGTTTTTTTGCCAACAAAGTTAGGTTCGTCCTCAACGCAATTAGTTTTGCAGACAAGCTTTGGTGGTTTCTTGATTCCAGCTATAGGGTTTGCTGTTGAGTCCCCTTATGGTGTAAAGCCTTTAATTGGTCTTGGTCTTTCCTCCAGCGGAAGGTGGAGAAAGAATTTGTCTTTGTTTAATCCTTTTGATGAAGCCCTCTATGTGGAGGAAGTAGCTGCTTGGCTATCAATTTCTTCTGGAAATACTTCCCGCTCGTCAAAAGCAATATGTAGAAGTATTGAAGAATCTAGTGAGAACCATATGCTGAGTGCTAAAGAATGGTTGGATGCTGAAAATGGTGAAGTTGGTCTACCACAAATTGCCATGAGGCCACATAAAAATTGGGAGATTCGCCCTCAAAAAACAGAGACTATTATGGAGTTAGATCTGTCGTTCCATTTTGAAGGAAAAGTTTTTGGTGCAATCTGTATGCAGTTACTGAGATCTTCAAAAAATAAGACCGATACAATAATTGTTCCTCTTGAAGCACAACTGAATGTGAATTCAGGTTATGGTGAACCTATTCGTCCTGTTTCAGTAGCTCTGGAAGCCATAATGCCATGTCTTGTTTTGCTTTCAGTGAGAAATGATTCTCCTTATGTACTGAGTGTTACTAAAGTCACCGAAGTCGGGGAAAATACTGCCAATTTTCATATTAAATACATGGAAGGTCTTGTACTTTTTCCTGATACTGTTACACAAGTTGCTGTTATTGTTTACAGTCCCTTAGAAACTCCCAAAGTAAACATGAACTGCAAATTGGTCATACTAATAAATGACACAAGTTCTCAGATTGAAATTCCCTGTGAAGATGTAATCAATATTGGTCCACAACATGAACTATATTCTTCTATTGAATATAGACAGCAGTCCAGAGATGTAGAACATAACAATGCGCATATGTCTTTAAGCAGCAGCATGCAGCTTCCATCAGAGATGAAGGTATACAGATTTTTTTTCTATCTTTTCTTTGTCTGAAATAAGTTTTCTGGCTGGAATGCGTTGCATTGATAGGATTTGTTACTCAACAAGCAAAAGCAGTTTAATGTCGGATTGTCTTATTGCAATATGATCACAGGACATGATGTTCTACTCCATAGATGGCAACAAAATGAAACTAAGGACCCCTTTTGGCATGGCTTTTGACATCTAAAAGCTGCTTTTGGACCCCATTTGGTTAATTTTATGAAAGTAATTCTTCTAACAACTTTTAGAGGAAGTTGGTCCAATATGGCTTCCGCTAAAAGCATTTCCAGAATAAGAAGCTGTTTTAGAAATTAGTTTCCAAACAAAATTTAAGGTAACTTCCTCATAAAGCTTTTCTATGGGAAGCAAAAGCAAAAGCAAAACCCATGCCGAACGGGTTTGTTGGACATTATGATTACTCTTAACTGTGCAAGGGATGAAAAGAAAAGAAAAGTGTATCTTAAACTGATTGTTATTATGAGTGAATTTGGATTATACTCTGCATCTTTGACTTTTCACACTGCTCATTTCTGAGTTCTAAAACTCGCATTTGATATGTGAATTTTGCATGTGATTTAATTGATTACTTGGTTGGTACTTGGATTGTGCTGTAAGGAAATGAAAATAGGAGGTAACGTAATAGTTACAATGAAATTGAGTCTGTGGAAAATTTTTATAGACTGATATTTGAGAGATTACTTATCTGGAGAAATGCCAGGCCAGAACGTAATCTGCTCGTTACTTTTTATAATTGGATGATGTGTGGAAGTCTTCCTTATTCTTTACTTTTGTTTGTTGGATGAGTAGGAAGGTTTTTGTATCTCTTCGTGGAAGTTTCCAGTACCTGCACTACATTGCTAAAACTTGTAACTTTATGTACGTATGATAGAAAATCTAATAGCTTCTTGGAATGTATTCTCACTTGGAGCAAAATATAGGTCATATTTCCGTTACTCGACCTTCTATTTTCTGCTTCTATAGTTCTATGGGTTGGAGAAGTTCTTGTTATGTTGCAGATGACTCTGTCCAGTTACAGATTAATCAAACAATTGTTCATCCTGTAATTGTGTGATATGCCATCTGTACATAATTTGGCTCTGTATTGACTCACAGAATCTTGCTTCCATCTTTAAATGTTTTTCACTTATATGCTAAAATCATGTATTTCAACTTTCTCGTATATAGTCATTTATTAATGTGAATCTGTATCTGAAGGCAGTGGATGCAAGAGAAGCAGAGGAGCTGGTACTCAGAAACTGGAAGTCTCATGCGGCCACAAATTTCATGTCTGTTCTTGATGAAAATGAAGTACTTTTCCCTATGGTTCAAGTTGGAAGTCATTGGTCTCAGTGGATATCTGTCAAGAACCCAAGCCAAGAATCGATTGTGATGCAGCTTGTTCTTAATTCTGGAGAAATTATTGATGAGTGCAGGACATCTGACACTCTTCTGCAACTGTCTTCATCCAATAGTTTGGTGGGTAATAAATCAATTGCTCATACAAGGTATGGTTTCTCAATAGCAGAGAGTGCAGTGACAGAAGCTTTTGTTCATCCTTATGGCAAAGCGTCCATTGGCCCAATTCTCTTTCGTCCCTCTAATCGATGTGATTGGAAAAGTTCAGTTCTGATAAGGAACAATCTCTCTGGTGTGGAGTGGCTATCTTTGCGTGGATTTGGGGGGTTAGTTTCCTTGGTCTTGTTTGAGGAGGCTATTCCTGTGCAAGGTTTAGAATTTAAGTTAAACTTGCCAACTCCACTTAGTTTTTTGTCTCCAGACATGTCACATTACATGGAAGAAAAAAGTCTCGACTGCTCCGTGCCTTTGATAAAAGAGCTGTACGCAAAGAACACAGGAGACCTTCCTTTAGAGGTAAAGCGAATTGAAGTTTCTGGAGCTAAATGTGGTATGGATGGTTTTCTAGTAAATACTTGTAAGGGTTTTTCTCTTCTGCCTGGGGAATCTATAAAGCTTAAGATATCATATCAGACTGATTTCTCTACAGCTACAATACAGAGGGATCTTCAACTGGTTCTGGCATCAGGGATTTTTGTGATTCCTATGAAAGCTTGTATTCCCATGTCTGTGCTCAACTTCTGCAAAAGATCTACATTCTGGATTCGAGTTAAGAGATCCATGGTTGCGATTCTTTTTTCCATTTTCATATTGTTACTGCTGCTCTGTTTCTTGTTTCCCCACGTAATGGCCTTTGGCTTTCAAGAATACTTGTTTAAGAGTGGGAAAAGCTCCATCTCCACTGTGAGCTTTGCAGAAAAATGTTCTAATGTGCATCACAATCCCAAAAACCATAGCAAGTATCCCATATCCCCAAAAATGAGTGGCTTGATTAGTTCAAATGGGAAAGAGGATACCTTGCTAGAATCTGATGGTCAAGCTGGTGCTCGGAAACATGTAAATCTATCCATGGGATATCAAAAGCAACACAACACTCAGTTGAATACTCAACAAGAAGCCATATCATCACACTCTTCACTTTCAAAACCTGTATCAGTTGAATCCCCTGATATTCAAGATGCATCAAAAGCTAGAATACTGACAGTTAAAATTGGAAAGGGGAAGGGAAGAAGGCGACGGAAGAATAAGAGTTCCAATACAGCACTAAGTGGACTTTTTGAAGTTTCAAGCAGTCAGAGTGGAAATTCTACACCGACCTCACCCTTTTCACCTGTCACATCTGTGGAAGCCAAACATACATTCACCCAGGTAGCTGATCAGCAATGTGATAAAAGCACATTTACAGAACCTCGCTTAAAGGTAAATGCACTGGGGCCTGATCTTTCTTTGAATCTTAGCAACAGTAACTGGCTCTTTTGTGCTCAAGAGAAGCCAAGTTTAGCAAGAAAAGTGGCTGGCAGAGCTGTTTTGTTGCCTTCTGCAACCTTTCCTATTGCTGGAAGGGCTTCCCCACATTTGACACGTCAATCTCCCATTTTGGCTTCGACATCTACAATTGCTTCACATGCGCGGGCTCCTGGTTCCAAACTTCATGATAAAAAACCGGATAAAGTTGAGCAGAAGATTGGAATTGAGGAAAATTATACTTACGATATATGGGGAGATCATCTTTTTGGACTTCCTTTGACTGGCAGGTCAAAGGAGGACTCTAGTATGTCACCTCATGCCACAGAGAGCAGCTCCGAGAGCTTCTTTATGAGTGGCCCCCAAACCCTGATAACAAACTCTCAACTACAACCTGTAAGTGCTATACCAGAGGGTTAATAATAAATTACTTAAGTTCTATTTAATTTTTTTGTGTTGATTCAATCTCTTTCAAAAAACATTTAATGCGTTTTTAACTATTAAAGAAACTGAAACCATGCCTGAGTTAAGAAACCAATAAAATTAAGCACTTTTAATTCAGCAATATCAGTTCCATTGGGTTACTGTTTTTACTGAGAAATTAACAATATATTGCTTTGAATAAATTTGTCATCTGTAATATTCAATTAGCAATTTTTTGAGTGAATTCACTAGATTGGAAAATCTATGCGTTATTATCTTGACAACTTCAAGGAAAACAAACAATACTAGGTGTGTGTTTTGAGTTACATTATTTTGAAAAAAATGTATTTTGGAATAGTAGATTGATGAAGAATGTGGTTAAAAAATGAGGAAAAACTTTGGATTTGCGTGTAATATTATTTTTTTTAAAAATGTGTGGTTGAAATGACGTCAAATCATTATTTAAGAATGTATTTTTTGAAAAATGTGGCTCAAACAGGCCTAGAGGAAAAAATTGTCAGGAGAATGATCCCAAAAAGAGATTAAGCCCTTGTTTGAGCCACATTATTTTGGAAAAAAATGCATTTTTGAAAAGTGTATTGATGGGAAATTTGTAAAAATAAGGAAAAGTTTTAGATTTGCGTGTAATATTATTTTATTGAAGAATGTGTGGTTGAAATGGTGTCAAATCACTGTTTAAGAATGTATTTTTTCCAAATAATGTGAATCAAACATGGCCTAAAATCTGGTGCATGGTATAGATCAAAAATAGTTTGTATTTATTGGCTTGAACACCTCCATATTTTAGTGTTTTTCTTTAGAACATATATTTGTACACTTTTAGTTTTTGTTGTAATTTTCTCTTATGCGGTAAGGTTAATGTTTAAGGTCAATGATCCTTTTAATATTGAGAATTAACAGATTTGATGTATTAATTATGGCATTTTAGTGACTCTACTCAATCTGTTATCTATTTTAAAACTAGATATGCTATAATATGAATTATTATTCATTCTTTAATACGTTGTGTATAGATTTCTTAGAATAATTTGTAGGTGATTTGGGTGGTTTCTTTTTTAATTTCTCTCCGGAATTGCATATAACATGTAATCCTTTCAGTGAAAAAATATACAGAAATTTCTTCTACAGTTCTCTTTATCTTTTGGTGTGAGAGCAAAATTTGCAACCCATGTAATACAATTGTTCATGTGTCTGGCTTTTATTGGAAAAGATAAACCCGTCCTACATGTGCGGGGACATGTTGAAAATAATATTTAAATAATATACATATTGCATCATCTGCAACTTAAACTTTTAGATTTGGTGGTTCGACATTTAACTTATAGAAGCACTAGTGTCAAATACATGAGTATTTTTTTATATGCCTTTTCCCGTAGTAGTTTTTGAGTTATTTTTTTCTATTTTGCAAGTCCAAACCTTAATTTTCTATTTCTACGACTTTTCATTTATATTTTATTGAATTGTCTTGCGATGCATATGAGTTCATGTTTTTGCTTCTTTGATGTTTGTGTTCTGAATATTCTACAATTATACTTTTTAACTTTCGTTCCATTGTTCTGATAATCATGAGTTGCAATTTAAATCTACCTGGAATATAGACAAGAACCACAATGCACTGTGCACAACTTTCATGGGCTCGCACAATCTTTGTTTTTTGACATGAACCAGTGCACTGTTTCGGCCTTCTCAAGGCTGCTTTTGCCCTCCTATCTATCTTTGTGTGCATGATTTCGAAATCCTAGAACTTAATGTGAGATTGATTGATGCCTTAACAAATGTTAAATAGTTTGAGGTGTTTGTTATTATATGCCATTTGAATTGCTTATATATGAATTTACTATTTTTGGGGTATATCAATTTGAAACAGTTCTTAGTGCTAAGTTTTGATAGTTGGCATAACTGAGTCCCCTATGTAATATGTCTAAGAAAAAAGAGAGTGCCTAATGAAAATCCATGTTTTAATATCCCATTTGTTGATGCATATATAGCATGTTTGATATAGGAAATCAGATAGCACCGGTCGGTACTAATAAAGAAAAAGAAGCTAAAATGTTCATTATAATTTCCGGTTGTGTCCTATGTTGCATACTAAAGCATGCACTTTGAGCCTAAGTGGACATTTCGTTTTAAAGATTGGTAGGATGCTAATGTTTGGCTGTGAGAAATGTTAGAATGCTGTGACTTTCATGTTATAATGGCTGTTTAAGATTATATATACATCTTGTTGCTGCAAGTTTTTTAAAACTGAGTGTACAGTTAAATATAAGATAGACTTGAGCTTCTTAGGAGTCATGTAGATAGGAGAAGAGAGTGCCGGTGGTGCCAGTCGACGCACATTCAGAAATAGCCAGCAAATGAGGAAAAGTGAAAGCACAACATTGATTCCTAAATTGGGATTTTGAGGGGACCATCTTCGTTTCTTCCCCACAGAAGCTGGCAAAGACAAAATTGCAGGTTCGAAAATGATATGACTATCCTCACAAAAGGATGAACTCTCAATCATTTATTCTTGTTGTCTCAGTGCATACGTGTGTGGCCATTTTCTCTTATCCTATTCTTTGGCTTCTAGAATTACATAGGTAAAAACTGTGTAACAACAATATGACAGCAAATGACAGGGACTGTTCTATTTGTGGTCTCATCTTTACGGGACCTTAATGACACAACATTGATGTCACACACTTCTTGAAAGTGGAATTCGCGAAAAACCAATGTGGGCGTACTCCTGGAACCATCTTTCCGGTGGCTCATCCAAAGAACGAGTATTGATATTCAATTATATTTGAGTAAACAACTTTCCATTGTAAAAAGAAATAGTCACTAGTACTCTGCTTCTCTCGCTCATGGGTTGGTTGCGATATATAAACTCGGATTTTCCCAGGACAATCATTTTTCTCCGATACATGAGCTGGCTAAGACAAATGGCAGCGTCGAAAATGATAGGATAATTAATTGGCTTCTGAATTGCAAAGAGTAACATGTTTTTGTCTCCAATGTTAATTAAAATCACAATGTCACAGCAAATGTGGACAGGGATCGGTTTATCTATGGTCCCTAATAACGAAATTGATATTAGAAGAGGAAATTGCGGAAAATTAATGGCTTTGTACCAAGCACTACAATGTGATAGAGGGTGTCATGATCATTTGAGAAGTACGTGGTGATGAGTTGGGATTTGAATTGTCATTGCACGTGTTTGTGTTAAGAGGTATGTAGTACTTCTGACAAGTTGGTGAGCTTTGAGGTTAAGCAGTTTTCTTATATTTTGAAGTTAGTTGGCAAGATTATTCAATGTTTGAGACTTCCTCTACAAGGTTCGACCGAAATGAAAATTGAGAATTTTGTGGTTAAAAAAATGTCGAATCTCAGTTGAATCATATTTTATCAGGACTCGTCGACGTAAGTTCCTTGGCTTGCAAGCGTGAGAAGGGCAAACGATCAAGGGCGAGGGACAGTATGTGATCAGGTCAAAAGATTTAGTTGATGAACAATATATAGGTTTCAAATTAATTCCATAAACTGTTTAGTTTTAACCTACAACTTGATTTTTTCTTCCCATTATGTTTGAATTTTGTACATGAAGATAGTTGTCCAAGTCTCAATATGTTTATTATACCAAGTTAAATCTGACTAGACACAATTAAGAAAGAAAAATGTATGCCCCGAGCATAGCGCAGTGGTGCAAAGGGTAGGACTGATGTTATCTTACGTCTTGCTGGCAGTCGCAGTGTGGGGATTTGATTTTCGAGACATGGAATTGAATTTCTTGTAGGCGCAGTGTACATGCAACTCTTGTTCCTTAACTTGTTGGGGCACATCCTATGATTTACCTCTCTCACAAAACTCTAGGGGTGGGACGGTGGGGCCCTCAAAGTTGGGGTTCAACCTTTTTTTTTTTTTTAAAAAAAAGAGAAATGTATGATGTAATTCTCTTAATTTATGTTCAATTTAACGTAATATATGCATTAAAACACTGAAAAAAATAATAATAATAATAATGATTGCATTAATAGGAACACCATATAGTCCCATCCATGTCAATATTTTTTTAATTTCTACCATTAAAATCTTTGTAAAGGAGAAAGATGCCTAAACTCTTTGTTAAGATTTAACGTTCCAAATTTTTTTTTGTCTTAATAAAATTTGACACTTGAACATATCGTATTTGTTAAACAAATAGAAATGTGTCGAGTTTCAAAAAAATAAGTTGGGGGTATTCCCATTTATTAAATATATGGTGTGTCAATGTCTCCAAAATATTGAAGGGTTCTACTACTCGTACATCAAGCTGTCAGCCCACCTCACAAAAAGGGAGCCCGCGATTTGTGAGGAGGATTGTCAAGTTCGGTATACAACCATCAAATTTCAATATTGAAAGGATAATTAAGGAAAAAACAAGTTCGGAATATCATTATTTTACAAATAAGTTTACCTACAAATGTATAAGTACTTTATGAATAAACTTTTTTTTACATGCAAAGTTAACAATTAATAAGCTGCTTATTAAAAATAAATAGTATTTTCATGCATTCACACACGAGAGAGAGAGAGAGAGAGAGAGAGAGAACTATTTTTCTCTTTTATGGAGAAAGCGATAAAGCCAATGATGAGATATCCTCACGTGCTTGCTATATTAATATTTGTGTCAGATTCACCTAATCCTACTTTTTAATTATAATTTAATAATCTTCTAATGCGTTGGGAATGTCTCAAAGTATATTTTCAGTAAACTTTTCTATTAAATTCTGATTATATCACTTTCTTTATTAGCTTTTTAAATCACTCCATAAATGAATCTGTCTATTTTCAGTTATTTCTCTACCTATACAGTGAATTATGAAAACATGTTTAATATAAAAATAAAGAATAAAAAAATGTGAAATATTTATTGGATATTATCTTATTTGAACTTATATAGTGTTACATATCAAATATGTGTTTTTAATGCGTTAGCTTAGCACAATTTATTTGAAAATTATTTTTACTAAAATTAATTTTCAATCAAACATTTTAAAAATATTTTGCAGTTGGATTCATTATTTTTCTCTACTTTTTAACAACATATTAAAAAGGAAAAATCATGCTACTCAAACAGGGAATTTTGATAGGAAGAGTTGATAGACAACGCTCGACGTGCATTCATTGAAAAATGAAAAAATAAAAATAAAAAAATAGGCAAATTACAATTCACCACGTCACGTGTGTCCATTAATTTGTTTTCCATTAAAAGGAATTATGATATTAATAATATTAGTGAATATATATATTCACTAATATTATTAATTATAAAAGAATATAAGTACTTTCTCTAGCTATAAATTTCATTAATTTGTACCTATTTTTTCAATTAGCATTAATTATCTTTAAATATGAAATTCATAGGATCCAATTTTTTGTACACATTTTTAAAAAATTCAATAAAATAATTTTAAGAAAAATTAATGGTGCAATCTTTATTCCTAAAGTATGTTATTTTTCCAATTAAAAATACAATAATCTTTTTCTACTAAAAGATTTTAACTTCACGGGTCCAATTTAAACTAATTTCTATCTAATTGAAAAAGAGTAAACAAGGAAAATTAAATTTGTATATTCAAATAATATCATATATTTTTATAAAGTTTTTGGTGATAAGTGGTTTCTTTAACTTTATAGCGTCAAAGAGTTTATAATTTTTTTTTTCTTTCATATATATTCAAATATAATTTTTTTTTTTTTTGTCTCTCACAAAATAATTACAATCACTCACAAGCACATATTTTGTCGGTGCAATTCCCACTCCATCCCACTTCCCTTGCACTTCTCTCTTAGGCTCTTAGCATTATTATAATTAGGAAAAAGATATTTGTACACTCAATCCCTTACCGAATGTTTTACATCCTCTCACAATGTATGTCGGGCTGCACGAGAATTTAAAAATGCAGGCATGTGGTCCCCACTCTATTGTGAGTGGTAGGTAAAGGATTCGATAAAAAAAATTCGGTACATGTAGCCTTGACCAATTAATTAATAATGAATTCCTTATCAAGTATACATAAAATTAATGAATATAAATAAAAATATTATTTTTGTAACTTAAAAGAGTACATATTTTTATTCAAAACCACTAGTTTCAATTTAAATTGGTTTAGTTCTAGGTCTTATTATCAAGATTTGATCGTATCTAGACCAGATGTGATCCTTGTATTATGGTTGTCAATTTCACGAATCGATTCGATCTAATTCTCAAGATACTCGAACCAAACTATTTGACACTCACTTATAATTTAGCTTAACTTTTAGGTAGATTAATTCAATACTGTACTTCATTCATACCATTAACTACTTATAAAAGTTAGCATAAATTTAGTTTAGATGTGAAATACTAATTAGGAGCCAGCTTTCTTGCCATATTTCCATCCACAAAACAAAAAACTAGTTTGGCTATATGCTATGCTCCAACCTTCACCAAAATATTCTCCCTCACTCTCATTTCACCATTCAACTTTCCCGCTCTCTCTCGCTCTCTCTCTCT